GCTTCAGACCACTGGGACTGACCTCAGTGCATCTCTGCAGTGATATTTTTTAAGAGTACTCAGCCCTTTACAAGAAGAATCCAGTCCATTACTGAGACATCGTCAAATAGATTTTTTTCAGGAAACAAGAAGGGCAAGTTGTTTCCTAAGGGACAGGGAGCCCAGACCCAAACACGGTTACAAGGGTGGCAGGGCAGGGGCTGTGCCAACGAGGGTCCTATCCTACAGTACCCAAATAAGGTGAGCAGGGCAGGTCTGAGGTTGACAACTGAGAATCCAGACCACCATACAAGTTTGTGGTGACAAGGCAGGTCTGAGGTTGAGCTGGGAAGCTGAGTCACGATCAGGTCTGGTGTGGGCAACCAGGGTCAGACAGCCCAGCGATCACCAGGCAAGCCCACAGTGACAAGGCAAGTCTGAGGTCAGGCTGGGAAGTCAGTCTGTGGGTCAGGATCAGTGAGGTCCACAGTCAGGCAAGGCATGGCTGTGGCTGAGCTGGAGACAGGCACTCCTACACTATACCTCAGGCAGGAACTCAAGGGCCCAGTCTGAGTTTAACTGGAGTCTGGGAGTATGGGTAGAGGATGGGGGTAGGTCCCAAGTGAGGCTGGTCAGGGCCATTAAGTCCTCAGGACCTTGTCAGGTTTAGGAGTTTACATTTATCATTTGAAAACACTTTTGTTTGAAATATCCCCTCTTTTAACAGAACTGACATGCAGACAGAAAGACTAAATGTGAATAATGCTAAAATGATGCTGTTCACATTACTGGTAGAATCTAGCCTACATTTTAGTTTGGATAGTTTTCATATTAGTATTCTGGTAAAAAAATCCCAAAGTTCAGGTTAGTTGGAAATGATGTTTCCACTTGAAGAAAAGCTTAGTAGATTAAAGCACTGGGACTTGGGAATTTTGTTTCTACTGCTACCTCAGCTTCTGTTGACTGACACGGTGTAGTCATCAAAGCTGGGCTCTGCATGAGTTTCTTCATCTGTACAAGGAAATAAAAAGATACTGACTCCTGACACTGACTTCCTGGCAAAGGAACTCGGCTCTGCTAAACACAATACTCTGAAAAAGAGGTTACTAAAATGCAGAGCTGACTGGCTATAAGCAGCACACAGAACAAAAAAATACCATCACAGAGAAGAGATTTGTAACATGGTCATGCAACTTAATGGAAGCTAACATAAAGTCTTTTGCAAATGCCAGCTTCAAAGTATTAATGCTTTATTGGAATGCGTGCTCTTTTCTGATATTCTCTTGTGCTTTGCATGAGATCTACCAAAAATGTCAAGATCTCCATTATCTGCACATGGGATGTAATTCTGCCTTTCCTTAGGCTTCAGAAATCCATTGAAACCAATAGATTGTTTATATGTGTGAAATGATGTAAGAGAGAAATCAAGTCTTTAACCATCACCGAATTCCAGCTGACAAAATCAGCCAGGCATAAATGAATATGATTCCTCTGACTTCTGGGTACATCTCCAGGAAACTTCAGTGATGGGTTTGGCTATGCAGGTGAGATGGCAGCAGTATGATTTTCTGAGTGCACTGAATTCAACACTAAGAACTCCATTATCTTCTTCAACATTTTTCAGACCCTGCCATCTGTGTGATTTGTCCATGGTCAGTACTACTGTCTGCTGAAGGAAATTTGTCCTTCCAAAACCATGCATCTCAGATGGAAGCTGTTCCTTTCAGTGCACCAGAATTGCTCCACAGACAAAGTAAAAACCAGCGCATTGGACTAACAAAGGTGAGGTATATTACAAAATAAATCTTGATGGTACCTTATGAAGACAAGCTTGTGGGTTTTAGTGCAGCATACCAGGTATCTACTGTTAAACTCCATTTCTAATAAGAATAAACAAATTAGGCTACAGTTAGAAAGATTTACATGTGTCTTGCAGCTCACCATTAGATTAGCATGCATGTCAACATCAAAATCAATTTTGAACATCAGTCCTCAAGTTCTGCAGAAATGTATTATTTGTAAAGGCTCACAGAAAGGAAGAATGTTTCTATGAACATGATGTTTGACCAGATATGGTAGCTGTAATCCCAGAAGCAGCAGGACTGGAGTATCTATATAATTAGAGAGTGGAAGCACTCCCAGAAAGTCAGGAATATGTTCAACTTTGTTACCAATTTACTCTTCTTCTCCCTGCCAAATGAGTCTCTCTGGCAAGACAGTAAGATATAACACTCAGGTACCTAAAAGTTTTAAATACCAGTAGGACCACATCAGTGCATACTTCCCTCAGGCAGAACACGGTAGTTTCAGACTCCCACATAACTGATCACTTAGACGCTATGCAGAAACATGAAGCTTTGTAATAGATGGTCCTGACTCCAGTAATCCTCTTCCTGGACATGAGGGTTAGTCAGTCCCACAGGTAGGGGAGAGCTTTAATCACCAATGGGAAAGCTTCAAAACTAAGCTAGTTTTTAAAAAAATATCTGTTTGGCTTCTGCCGTTTTGTGACCAAAGACACAAAAAGATGGTCTCTCTACTACGAGACTTTTCTGTATTTAATGTTGGCTTCATAAAGGGTTTCCTTTTCTGTTTTGACAGATGTTGGTATATTCCTTAGGAATGACCCTGTATTGGTCAGCAGACTACCAGGTTCCTCCAAACCAGGCCAGTAACAAAAACGGTTTTGTTTTCTTTTATTCTGTCTCATATTGGTAGGTTCAAAGATTGAGAGGCATAATCTGAAGTCTCAGTAAGAGGGGCTTTATGTTTTGGACCACTAGAAAGAATTGGAAAGCTTGTGTCAAGGTCCAGATATCACCAAAAATACCAGTTCATCTAAATCAGGGATTTAGTTAGATCTCATCTTTACTTTCTTTTTTTTCCCCTTTTTCTTCAAAAATCAGAATTGTCTCCCATTAAGATGAATTGTGCCTTCCTTTTAAGAGTGAAGATTATTTATTCCAAGACTGTAATAAGGAACAGATTGCCCAGTGAAGTGGTTGAGTCACTATCCCTGGAGGTATTTAAAAGATGGGTAGATGTGGCACTAAGGGATGTGGTGAACTTGGCAGTGTCAGGTTTACGGTTGGACTTGATGATCTTAAAGGTCTTTTCCACCCTAAATGATTCTATGATTCTGTGATTCTAAGATAGGAAGGGCTAAAAGAAAAACATCATGTTGGCATGATGGTGGTGCTGTGCACATTTATGTGCTTTTTCAACAAATGGGGTGCTGGAATAAAACTAACTAACTCTCCTTATTTCTAAGCAAATTCTACCACCATCTCTGCCAGTTGAAAATCTGCATTTCTTGCTTACCCAGAATCCTTTCGAAGATTTGTAGCACACATTTTGCTTCATTTCTGTGTCCATGCCTTTGATTGCATTTTTTGGATTTGGAGAGCACAAGCTTTTAGTAGATTTAACCTCCCTTTCCTTGGTATACATGGTCAAAGAGAAAAGGCTCTATAAGCTAAATGACTCTAAAATTTCAGTATCTGGTCTCTATGGCAACAGTTTTGACTGGTATAACTCCTCAACTTTTTGAAGCTAATGCTGCCACATGTCTTACTTGCATGAATCTTTAAGATTCACATCTAATTAGCAAAGCTGTGGAGCAGACTGAGCTGTTGTCTGTCACTGAGAAGCCTCTATATGGGCTGATGACCCTCCTTGTAGATGCCAGTTCCCTCCAAGGCTATCCTGGATCCCATTAGAGGCTCCATATAGTGCTGTTATGCTGCCTGTCTGAAATTTTCCTGAAGCCTAAAGGAATTCAGTGCCCATTTCTCACCCAGGGTAAAAGGCTTACAGAAATTTCTGGTCCCAGTTTACATAGGATTTCAGACCACTAGGAGATGTCATTTAACAGTACCTCCATTTTGACTCAGTTCCTCCAGCTGAGTGACCAACTACACACGCTCTTGCTGACACTATGTGAAGATCTGCCACATAAAAGACTTTCTCCTGAATCAATTCTGGAAGCATGTGAGGCACATCAGAAGGAATCTGCTTCCTTACCAGCAAATGTCTACATAAAGAAAATGGTCCAGTTTGCTGTGGGAAGTGTCAGTGAGGTAGGTACTACTCTGATACTCTAATCATCTCCTTTTCTTTGGTGAGAGGTGAGCAGTATCATGGGATAGAGGTGAGCAATTGCCTGAAATTAATGCTTGTATGAATTAAGGAAGCGAGATTTGGTTCTAGACTTCTAAGCAGGAAATTGAGTGGGCATGTGTATAAGCAAATGAGGCAATGAAGCCATCTCTCACACCACTCTTACACTCCTGAGAAATTATACAAATCCAGCTTTTGCACTTACAGTATATTCATTTCTTTGGTTAATACTAAAGCAATCATAACCTTTACAGAGACTTCATATTGGCCAAACACTTTTGGACTTTACACAAGAGAAAAGATTTCCCCATTGCCAGTCTGTTTTCAGACTTTCTTTGTGAAATTCAAAGAAATCACATTTACATCATATTGTGAATGTAATTCATTGTCCTTGAGTGGAACTGACCATTTGCCTTGCAATCAGTCCTGACCACGTAAGGTCTTTAATAAGTGAGCACCTGAGTCTTTTTCAAGATGCAAAATATCAACAAACATTTTTTGCTGACAAGCTGAATGAAACTGGAAGAAAACACACTGCAAATATTTTTTTCTGTTTTCAACCAGTATTCATTAACATTCTGAGATGACCTTTTCCCTTGCATGCTCTATTTCCCACTATAACCGAGAGTGTCCCCTCTTAAACACCGCTAGCATGACAGCATGAAGCCATTCAAACTCAATCCTGCTTTGTGTTAATCTGAGAAGATGAAGTTGCTTATACCAGCAAATCAGCAGCCTCTGACAAGCAGAGGGTAAGGATCACTTCAGTATGAGAGTCTGAAGTCCACATGTCATATGACATTGACTTGCAGTACTACTGTCTTCTAGGTAGAGCGGGTAGTCACCGAAGACAGCACAGCCTCTCAGCTTAACAGAAGTCATGTGATAAGGAAAAGACTGCATGAGAAAATATTGGACACCTCACCACTGCCCTCCCAGATGAATTTCCACCAAGGTATTTCACTTATAATCTGAACTGTCTAATAAGGATACAGCCAGCGTTTTCTGAGTGTCTCCCAAGCTAGGTGAAATGTTTAATTTCATGCTGTAGTGATTACATGTAGTATTGGGTAGGATATTTATTGCTTTACATATAAATGACTTCGTAATGGAAACACTCTGAGGCAAGTCAGCAAGGTTTCTGTTCCTTATTTCCACAAAGGACAGTAGTCTGAGGGCTGTGAAGCAACGATAATGAATCAGCTTGCACAGATTTGACTCTTAAAGCACTTTTCATAAAACCTGTGCACATTTAAAAAAACTACTTTAAAAACTGCTTTTGTACTTTGTATACTCCAGTGTATTTGCCAAGGTAAAGAATGGGATTCTGTGAAGTTATTCTGTTGCTATTAAGGAATATATATTAATCCTTCCTATTTGATTACTCAAGCAAAGATTTGTGGTTTCTTTCTGGTTTTAGTTTCATTTTTCTATTCAAAAGATGTTTTATAAATTCACACATGGGTTGCTGGAGTGATTTCAAGACACAAGGCCAAATCCTGCTCACTATATAAATAAACCAGCATACACTAATTTCACATTTCATTTGACTAAGATCAAGATTTTATTATCCCTCAGAGTAATTCTCTAACTGTAACTAAACATGGACTTCAGGTTCAGATAGTTCTTTTTTCTAGTCTCTAGATTGTAATGTTCACTTCAACAGAAATCTCTGATTTTGGGGCAAGGGGAAGGTTGGCCCAAGCTACACAGGCTTTTTTGGACATGCTCAACATTAGGCATATGGACAATCCAATTCCTATTCAGCAAATCACATATATGTTCCATTAACTTCAGCTAGAATTAAACACGCACTTAAATACCTGTGGAACATTTCTATTAGGTATTCTTGGTTATAAGAAAAGGAGATTCTTTTGAAAACATACAGACAAACCACCCCTCAAATCATATTGGCTCACTCACTCATTTAGAAACTGATCTTATAGATTCATACTTGCATATGCTGGTGAAAACTCTGCTGATGCCAAAAGGGATTGTCCCATCTTCAACCCTCTATTAGCTACAAATTCCTGCCATTTCCCTTCTACTGGCTCTAGTGATTATGTATCTGGGGTGATCTCTGTGTTTCCTAGTGGTTCGCGTCACGTGGCTTACACTTGCTGAAGGACTTCAATGAATCAGGATGTCAATTACATTGAGAACATGTGAGCCACACTTTTCAAGGCAGCATTCCATTTCTTTCTTTTTTTTAATTAAAAACTACCACGTTCAGAGATTCTGGAAAAGGACAAGAGTCAATGCAACCAAAGTAAAGTTAGGGTGCAACAGAAATATGTACTTCCTCATGATTTAGGATGACCCCTTAATGGAATTTCTGCAGCTGACCCTGGTAGTGGATTGTGTCTGGGCACTGTCCATCCTGCACACAGAAAGAACACTCTATAGCTGAAGGTTTTGGGCCTCAGAATGTAAGGAAGGAGAACTTTGTGGGTTATCTGCACTTTGCAACCTTTCAGTTAAACATGTAGAATAGAATTCATATATTAGATTTTTTAAATTTGGAATGATTGAGGAGAACTATGAGAACTATTTTGGGACAGAATAAGATTATGAAAGTAACAGAATGAAGTTACCAAGCTTTCCGTGGTCCTTAAGGAATTGAAGTGAGGGTTAGAAGACAGGACAGACATGGACTATATGAAAATTAGTCAAACCAAATGTTATTTGTTATCGTGCAGATACAATGATTTATAATTAAAGTGTGTGATTCACTGTATTTCCTTTCTGTTTCCAGACAAAGGGTCCAGATTAATGAATTATAGTCGGTCAACAGAAGATTACAGACAAGTCTCTGTGGACTACAGTGACTCTAATAGCATTTCTGAAAGTACATCTTTGATACTGTCTAACCGAGGACACATGAGAGGTAACATTTTCCTGAAATATTATGTTTATGAATTAGGTACTTATCTCTTTTGTCCCTTGAAATGTGAAACTACCCATGTATGGTCAGGTGATAGGTACTGCCATACACTTGTGATTATGTGACTAGGGAGGTATATTTGTGCTAAGCTGCAAAGAAGAAAGATCCTTTTATACTGGATTCCTTTTTACTTGTGTCCTACTGTAAAGCTATATATTCCCTGGTTACTATGCAGCACCATCATCTCTTTCTTGCTTTGTGCCCCCTTTGCCAGTTCAGCAGATCACAGACAAAGCCTGACAGCATGTTTCTGGCACATGGGGTCTTGAAACAGATGAGAAACAGTGGAGCTACCCCACAAATGCACACAATGTGCAATGTCAAGATGGCAGCACTGAAATCAGTTGAATCTATGAATAATAGCTAAGACTTGAATGGTGGGGAGTAACGTTTCTTCAGGCCCATTCAAGAACAAAGGGACTAATTCTGAACTCTAGAGGAAAAAAACCACCAAACAACCTTTTGTTTTCTTTTCATTTTTGTCCTAAAGCCATTGTGTATTTCCTGCTCAGTGTGTTGGTTTTGTGTGCTAAATGCTAGGTTGCAATGCTGCTCTTCTGATTTGCTTTGTCTGGAGATATCAGAGTTGGAATTTTATTTCCACTTTCAATACTTTTATGGCAGAAACAGCATGAAAGAAACTGTTTGGGAGAGGATCTATTCAGTGAAGACACTGTGGGAGACATCAGTCAGGGTCCTTCCCAAGCCACTTAAATCACAGTTTAGAAGGATACTGTGAGGCAAAGAAGGGAATTCAGCAAAAATGCTGTGCATGTGTATCTTCATGTTTAAATTGGAATCTGAGCTAAGGACACCTAGACAGGACATTCACACTGCCCAAAAGCAAAAAGTTCCTGTTGCCAAATATCATCAGCATCTCCTAAAAAAATAAGCTTACCATGCCAGCTCCCCATCTCAGACTCCTGCCCGTTTCTATTCTCCATTCCACAGTTACCCACCTTCCTATTCGCTTTCAATCTTTTTTTCCATCCTGCCTGGGGCACTTCTGATCTTCCAGACCCAGAGGTGAAAGTTTACTTCTGTACTTCAGAGTTTACTTCCACACTTTACGAGCCTCCAAGAGAAATGAAGTACTAGGTCCTCCTGTGGCATGGATTCAGACATGCTTTGTAAGCATGTGTGGTTTTTTTATCCCAGAAATTTCTTCCCTAAGGCAATAACCCTAGCATCCACTACATCAGTTATGATGCAACAAAGTATGCACACCGCCTGGTTAGTTCATTGATGCCGTAAATAACAGAAAACTGCTGAGTAGCCCTTGCTTTTTCTCACTGGGGAACATTAATTTTAGTTTCTGATACCCAGATGCTGATTGTCATGAAATTCGTAGGAACATGTCATCCCCACTCTTCCAAATTTGAAAGGTTTAAAGTTTACTGGGCAAAAATAAAAGGCATAGAGCATGATCTCAAGGGACTAATTTCCCTAGGAAAGATGGCAAAAAAACCCTGGGTGCCCACTGCATTATCACAAGTCTGCCAGGAGATCATTCACAGAGAGAAAGTAAATACATCCTGGGAAGAAAAAACACGTAGTAGCCTCTCAGCTCTAAACCCTTAGCCCCAAGGATGAGGAAGGTGAGGTTACTCATACAACTGCTGTTCATACTCTACTCTTGAAAGGTGCTTTTCTGAAGCTCCAGAATTGCAATCAATATCAGCAGCAATAAAAACCTGAGATTGCAGCTGCTCCCTATGTGACACATATGTGTCAGTCACATACCTAGCAGCACATAGTGAAGGTAAACTCAGGACCCAGTTTTGTAAGTCCTTTTTTAAAAAATTTTGGTCATAAACTTGACAAAGGCTCATTCCAGTGAGTTTCTGCATCTCTGAGTCCCCATTGAAACACTGGTAGCTGTTAGTACTTAGGACTTTGTAAGACAAAACTCTAAAAATACAGGAGAAATCACAGTATGTGAAAGCTTGTTTGTCACAGACATTCTTTCATGAGATAAAGTATTAGAAAAATGCATTCTTCTCTGAAAAGAAATATTGCCATCTAGTAGGGCACCATTATCAAGGGAGATCAATATTTCTATCCAGACTGTACTTTAGAAGCTCATTTAATGTATAATAAATTAATCATCTACAGGATCAACTTCTTTGAAGACCACATGTTACTTAAACATCAGGAACGTGTTGGATTTGTGATCAAAGCATGGCAGTCTGGCCAGTGAAACTAGCCAACTTGTCCCACTGCCATAACAGCTGAAACACAAAAACTAAATGGGAATTTTATGTGCTTGTCAAAGTATATTTATACAATTATGTGAAACCTATAGTGTAAGCAGAGAATTTTGCAAAGCTTTCTCATTAAAAAGCATGTAGTTTCAGAACACAGGACTGAATCTTAATTTTGGTAACTAGCCCTGAGTATTTGCCTTATTTCAAATCTCACATTTTGTCACTACCATCTGCAGCTTGAAAAAACATGTTTATGAATATTTTAGCAATGTGACTGTAGATTTTCTAGTTTTTAAAATTGCAATTGGTGATTGGTACACTAGAATTCAATGCCATGTTTTCATGTTGGAATTCAAAGTGAGGATACCTTACCCAGAGAAAAAGCTGACCTAAATGTTGCTTTCACATAGCTCATCTTATCACCTCCATCATTCTGCCTATGTAATAGTTTGATATGCAACTCTTCAAATAAGATCAATGAAATGATCCAAGTGAAGAAAAATTTAACATCCCCACTCTTCCCTAAAGAATTTAAAATATCTCTGCTGCTAGAAGAAATGTTCCTGGAACTACCACTTGGCTAACCCTTTCTGGTTCTACCTCTAAATTTCAGCCTTCATGTATTTGGACAAAGCAATGCCTATCCTTTCTGCAGCAGCAAAGATGACTGAAGGTGAAAAATTGTACAAATCTTATTTGCTAATGACTCACAAACCATCCCATATTCCCACCAGAATTTTATGATGTAAAAACATTCACAATGTATTTAATGTAGCAAATAACCAGTGGAATATTTACAAACAGTTTTCATTTCAGTGATTTTATATCCTACTATGATTAAGCCAGAGAAGTTTCATGGCTTCCTCCCCCCAGTTTTATGCCTGGAAATAGAAGAACAAAGAATATTAGGGGTAATTTCTGAAGAGCAAAAGCTGTTTCACAAATTACCCCCATACATATGGAAATAACAGCCATTGTACCTACACAGCTATTTTCCAAATTACATTCACATGAAGAGTTCTGAAGAGGAAGCAACAATAACAATACTGCTGGTGTAGTATTCACGTAGCCTTATCAAATAGCCATTTAGCATGCCCATGCAAGGACACAAGAGAGGAAGTAGCCAGTCTAAATTTCATCTTTGTTGTAATTGTGCCAAGATCTGATGCTGAATGCTGCTACAATTGCTTCAGTTGTGAAATTTCCTTTATTCATTTCAGGGAGAGTTCCACAGACACACAGGTCATGGGACCCCACCCTTAGTGGGTCAAGGACACAAAGTAGTTACAAGCTCTTCATAAACAGGTAATCAAAACTCATATTCCTAAAAAATGGAAGCTGTTTTATTACCAAGTGAAGCAGACAACTAGTGTGGCAATGTCATTATCAGAAAATGCCTAGATTGCCATCTGAACCTGTTTTTATAATAGATACTGTTTATATAGAATTTCAGTACACCTAGACTCAGTGTGGCTCCAAGTGAAACAGTCTAAATGCTCTAGTGAAATGGAGCTTGGGCCCTCAACAATCCATACACAACAAGCACATTGATGTTTTCCACCTTTTCTCTTTACCACACTGTGTCCTGCCAGATGTCACTGGCCTCCCAGATCAGCTGCCCCTAGCATGTCTCCATTAGAATCAGACAGGTAAGCAGCAATAGCTTGCTGTGACTGAAACAACTGGGAAGCAGCTCCACAGAGAGTGTGGAAGGGAAAAACCTGTTCAGAAGGTATGAAGAGACATTGCTTTCACTGGCAAGGCATTCTGCAGAGTCCACATTTGTCTACATTCAGATTTTGGATCTGGTCTTGCCTTGCTGTCACATTAGCAGAGGCCTGATGTGTTCTGGAGTGGTTATGACAGACCGTGTATATGATATATCATCTTCAGTGGATTTTTTGCATTTCCATCTCAGTTCTTAGATTGATTTGTCTCACTTGTGGCAGGCATATCCAGCTCTGTGCTGCCACTTTACTGAAGAGTTATAGGTTACTCAGGGACACAAGCCATAAAGACCTCTGCTCTGTCAGGAGGATTAGCCTCATTTCAGCCATGGCATGTACAGCAGCCTGGTAGACATAAACAAAGAAAGCTGAGAATTGTACAACTGATACTAACTCCTTTTCAAAAGCCAGGGAAGCACCACTGCTGCCAAACAAGAGTTTTCTAGACTGGGTGTCAGCATAGTGCAGCTGCAATCATGGCTATTTCCAAATGAAAGAGAGATGTAAGTACTCTTAGCCTCTAGGTACCACAAAGACCAGAATCCCACAGTTAAGCACCTTGTAATCCCTACAGACATCCCATTTAAATTGAGTTCTTGACCCAGTTAAACAGGAGTTTCTTCTTTTAACCATGACATGAGTAATTCAGGCCCACAGGAAATGTTCCATTTAGATGAACTCCCAATTAAATGTATCCCAAGTAAGCAGTTTGAACTCCCTGATTGTCCCGGTTTCAGACACTTATAAATCAGTCACGATAATCTGAATGATGTGAGATACCTCAGCACACCTCTAAACCTGCAATAAGAAAGAACTACGAGCAGGTTGCAGGATAGTGGCAGCTTTTGTGAAGAAAGAAGTCTCTGTCTACCTGTCTCACTACACACACATACATATATATGTGTGTATACAGACATCTATATATGCATCATACACCTGGCAATGATGTCAGTAACAAAAGATTTATTTACTGAGTATTTGGGAGCAATTGCCATGCCTCATGACTACCAACCTGGGTATCATCTTGATATCCTCCTTGATCTAAAATCATGCTGCCAAGAAAATGTTCCCCTCTTCTGCTGAAAGATGAACTCTCTTCTCCAAATTTCCAGCAAGCTGTTTCCCATAGAACTTCAGGGACTGTAAACCCCACTTTTGGTTGTAAGCATCTGCAATTGAATTTCTGCCAAGGTCACCTTCCTATTGTAAGTACCATGACAACAACAGAGTTGAAATAATTACTTTGGAAACCACCAATTTCCCATATAGGAGGACAACCAACGCAAAACTTAGTGATAGGTTTACTGTCTATAAACCTTACTAATATCACCATGCTCACTTCTGTAAGCAGTCCAGCTGACATAACTTACATCTCATAAAGTTAAGCTTGTAAGCATATGCAGGGCTATGGCTTATATATAAAGAAGACACAGCTGTCAAGTCTGGAATCTCTCACCTTACAGGACTAATAACAGGAAAAGAAAGGCTTCTTAATACAGCATCTTGGATTTTGAGCTAACAGTATTTTTATACCCACAAAAGTCACTTCAGGTCATTTCCAGGCGTATTTCTTAGGCAAATGTTGATCTTTATGAGGTTGCATGATAGAAACAAAAGTATCTAGATATCCTTATAGACAGAGGAATGTAAACTAGGATAGAATAGCATAGAATAGAATAGAACAGAACAGAACAGAATAGTTCAGTTGGAAGAGACCTGCAACAATCATCTAGTCCAACTGCCTTACTACTTCAGGGCTGACCAAAAGTTAAAGCATGTTATTAAGGGCATTGTCTAAATGCCTTTTAAACACTAACAGGCTTGGGGCATCGACCACCTCTCTAGGAAGCCTGTTCTAGTGTTTGGCCTCCTTCTCAGTAAAGAAATGCTTCCTAATATCAAGTCTGAACCTCCCCTGCCGCAGCTTTGAACTGTTCCCACATATCCTGTCACTAGATACCAGGGAGAAGAGATCAGCAACTACTCCAGGAACTTTGTTAAAAACCTTTTGAAACTCCCTGAATAGTTTCCTGAAGCAACTCTGCAACATGCAAAAGAAAAGGATAAAACTTTGGGATAACAAAAAAGCTTCCATGTGACTTTGGCATTTGTTAAAAATCTAATTAACAAAAATCCACCTCAACAAAATCTTTCCTTCTATACTACATAATCATTCTTTTGTCATTGATAAGAGTATATATTATATTTTAAGTTTATTCTAAGCATTCATGTGTCTGCTCATGAGGAAAACACCATTACATTATGGGTTAAATGTATATAGACAGCTTTCTGATCTGAGATTTCACACATCTTTATCTTAATTAAATTGAAAAATCCCTCAGTTCCCTATGAGATTAATTTATTCTAATGAATTAGTATTCAAATAATTTAATTCCCATTCCTGGAAAATTCTGAATACCCTAACAACAAATGTTACGGTTTTCTGAAGCTTCTTTGCTTCAGAAAATAAGAAATGAGGAATTGACTTCATCCTGTAGAATTCCCAGAAAGGCATGGGGCTAAATTCTTTGACTGTTGGCTTCACCAGACTGAAACCAGTTAGATCTGGCTCACCAAATGAAAAAAAAAAAAAAAAAAAAAAGACTGTTATTGAATTAAAGCAGAGATTAGATTTATTTGTAAAGGGCATCAGTAATATTATCCTTGTTAAATTATTTTTCTTAACATTTAACAATTTGTAACTGACATTGCCCTGGATTTCATATTTAATTTCTATTCTACCAGTTAATATACCTTAAGTTCTTTGTCCTCATCTGTGTTGTTTTGATTGCATGCTATATATATTGCTTACTACAACATTTCCTTTGAAGGTCGGTCAGTGCTGTAGAAGAAATCCCTGCTGGAACTCAGAAGAAGAGCAGACAGAACCTGCTAAGTTTAGGTTCCACCTTCTCCATGTCTACAAAGGACTACACAGCAGCTTCTGCATCACAGAAATGTTTGTTCCACAGGAAGGAAAAGGTGACTAATGAAAAACGTATAAACTGGTTTCAAAATGTAAATATCACTAAAGAGAAACCTCTCATCCAGTTGTTGTCCACCAGTGACGTGCATGTTTGCTACTGAGTCATTTCATTAGATGAGTATTCTAAATTGACAGACTCCAAATTAGGCATCATCCAGTTGTGATAACTCAGAACTAAAGGCAGTGAAAGCTCTTGTCCATAAAGACTAAGCAAAAGCTTATAATCGAACCCTCTCTGACCTACATGTGTGATTTCTGCAAGCATCAAACAGCATATGGACTGTTTTCATCAACCACTTTGAGAGGAGCTTCAGAACAGCAAAAACATTTACAGAGACACTGAACCCAAACACTTGCTGGTCAACGGTGCCCAAAGGACTTAAATTTTTTTTACAGCGTATGCCTGGACAGAAAGCATAGGCTAGCAGTGAGTGTGCCAAACCAATAATTCAACTATGAGTCTATTTCTAGTTGCTATTTCCATTTGTTGTGGAATTCTGTTAAATGGGAAGAATAATGTTTCTTTGGCAGTTGGGTCACAAAAATCCAGAAATAACTGTATCACAGAAAACTCCACAATGCTTCTGTCCATGGAGCTTTCTGTTGTGGAAGTAGAATGGACAGGTTTCAGGCTGGTGAGTCCTTTCACCTGTTCCCAGTTCACAAGCTCAAGACTGACCAGAAATTTGATCAAGAGTTTAAGTCAGATATTTTGGAAAATTATCTTTTTATATATAAATTTAGTTTTACATTTTGTTAATATGATTTTTGCTGGGTTAATAATTGAGTTCCTCAGAGGTGTCCAGCAACTGTTACAACAAAGTGCTAGTCCCTCTTTATAAGACTAAGGTCAAAACTTCAGTGGCTGTTGGCAGGACAATACTAGTATTATGAAACAAACCATAAATTTTCTTTAAAAATATCTAAATGGGTCAAGGTACTAAGTCATGGAGAATGGTTGGAAGTATCCACATCTTACTACTCGCAGACATTTAGTTATTTCTGTCTGCTTCAAGGATCTAAAAGCATAGATGAATTTAAAAAAAAAACCCAAACCAATATGCAAAATTCCTTGAGGTGGATGCTTAGCAAGAAAAAAAGCATCTTGTGCTGTTAAAGTTTGTTGCAGTTAAAGCAAAAGAATGCAATGCTAATGAAAACTATCAGCCAACCTTCATTACAGGGAATAAAGCAGCTCCACATTTTAGTCTGCTTCCCTATGGAAGCTAGGCTTATGAAATCATGGTGGTGTGTATGTATGTGTGTACATGTCTGTGACTGTCCTCATAGTAACTTGGGAATCAAATGGGAAAAGGTCTCAGAAGAAGTATACTTTCTGTAAGTGTCATGAAAATGGGTGCCATACAAAGGAAATGGATCTTGGTTAAGTGCCTTTACAGAAGAAAAGGCTTCACCATGAGCTTACCGCTAATTAGACCCAGAGAGTCCACACAGGAGAGACCCCAAACAGAGAGAAGTCTGCATTTGCACATTATTAGACACTGAAATCAATTAGCTATGGCATACAGATTGACAGAAATGGGTTTCTTTGGTACTGGTGTTTGGGATCTTCATTGCATTAAGGAGACATTTATTAAATTTCTAATTTGCCTCCTTACAGTTTTCAGGTCCAGAATTTATTATTTTGTCTAGTGAACCACCAGTGACCTTACAGCTGCCTGGATCAATTGTGGTAAGTATGAACATTAAGAATTTAGAACTAATCTAATGACCTTTTAGTTGGGGGTCTTTGTAAGTTGCATATAAGTCCCAACCCAGTATCCTTGCCATTTCCTCTTCCCAAACCAAGTTAGGGTTCCTGCAGAGGTATTGAGGTCATTTAATTCTCAGTGCTATGTAGTTATTTCTGTTGGTGTGAAAATATCGTAATTTATCCTTCTCAGCTAAGAATGCTCACTTTAGCACAAGACTTTTGAGACAAAGATTATACAGCAAATATGCAATGTGACATCTAGTGCCAGTGTATTGGACTCCTCTGGTTTGCAGGCACATCCTCCACCTTTCATTAAGATAAAGTAAAAGGCTGACAGCATACAGCAGTAAAAATGAGGGCAAAGAAAATTTGGAATTACCCTCAAGTCTAGAATAACCCTGGTAATTGTAGATTCTGAGTATGCTCAGATGTTTTGTTGGGATTCCCTGGGTTTAGAAATGTTTGGGATATTAATTTATGAGAAGGAAGGCAGGGAATAGCATAGTGCTGTGACCAATTCCATCAGGTTATGTAGAGATAGGAGACTAGGAGGCCTCAGTAATAAAATGCTGTGGAACTTGCATTGCTTGTACTTGGCACTCATTCTTCATTCTGTTACTTCTTAGACTAAAAAGGGGAAATCCTATTTGTCCCAAAGGGATCTCAATGTGATTCTACTGAACGGGCAGTGCCTTGAGGTGCAATGTGACATCAAGTCCAAGGCAAGAGATGTTTTCAACACTGTGGTGGCATATGCAAACTTGGTGGAACATTTCTACTTTGGTTTGGCTTACTTAAAAGGTAATGAGACACAGCTAACTTCAGTAACAGTTCTCTCCCTCAACACCTCTGTACTTACTTTATTAATGAATTCCAGTAAGATCCTTTAAGATCCTCAGATCAAAGCAGATCCAAAGCTCAAGCAAATGTAAGGTACATTGGTTTAAACTGTACTGCACTGATGTAAAGTGTGCCTACCCTATGACTGTGCATCAGCACAGCCATACTGTTACTGGCTGGTATTCCCATGCAGAAAAGACTGTGTCCCAGACTTGCACTGGAATAATCCTGAGCCATGTAGCTCCAGCAGAAATTCCAGGAAGCACTGTACTGAGGAAGGCTGACTGTCTTTGTTCCTAGATATAAGTTGGAGTACAGGCTCAACTATTTCATCTACAAGACCCATATCTCCTTAGCCCATTTCAGATGACAAGCATGGCTGAGGGATTAGGAAGAAGCATACCTTGTGTGCAGGACATGAGGATTACAATGGGGTACAGAACCTGAATGGTGAGCAGAATGCAAGCCCCATCAATTCTTGAGTGACTCCATAGATACCACACCAATTCAGCATCTAACAATTGTAATCCTAAATTACGAAGTGTTATCCTAAGTTCTCCATCAAAGAAGCAATAAGCTAAGCCATGGCACAGAGAAGTAAATCTCAACTGACATCCATGATCCATTTTATTTTTTATTGCTAATGATGCACGGACTGAAGACAGCAGAACTTTGAGCTACTGAAGTATCCCCTGACTTATCACAGAACCAAAATTCTCCTTTCAGGTAAAGAATTCTTCTTTTTGGATGAGGAGACCAAACTCTACAAAGTGGCCCCAGATGGCTGGAACGACCAACCCAAGAAGAAAACCTCCATCATTAATTTAGATAAAATTCTTTGTCAACCACTTTAATGTTATCCAGTAAGTGCATGGTTCTGCTGACTGCAGGAAAAACAGTAGCATTTAGGGTGACTGTTCAAGGCTCCTCCTGTGTTCCTAAACCCTTTTGTGTTCCAGGCATGGCTTGACACGGCATCAGTTTTACCTGCAGCTTCGTAAAGATATTTTGGAGGAGCGATTATATTGCAATGATGAGACTGCCCTGAAACTCGGCGCTTTGGCTTTACAGGCAGAGCTTGGCAATTATGCTTCTGAGGTGTGGAAAAATAATATAATATTTCTTAGAGGTCTCTCTCAACAGATTTTGCAGCTTTTGTTTGTCACATAGAGTTTAAAGAAGAAATTTGAATAACACATAATTTCAGCTAAGTCCTTCAGTAATCAATTTTGGATTTAATTAAAAAAATGACAAAATTTGCCTGATTAAGGAGCAGCAATGAGCAGGCAAATTTGGCAGGAAATATGGCAGAACAATGAAAGACTCTTGGTCCTTCATAATTGGTAACACAGCCCAGAAACTCCAGAAAATCTGTAGAAAATTTTCAACACAAGCACAGCTTGGATGTGCAGAGGGGCTTAAAGAGGTTAGAAAACATGGAAGAGAAAAATAAATAAACACTCCAGAATTCACAGCTATTTTCTGTGGAGGCTCAGATCCACAAGCTGCAAAGACAGGAAGGTCACTGATGATATATCTGAACTAGTTATCCTAGTTTTGAAGTGTACAGAAATAGCCATTTATGATCTCTGCCGTATCTTCAGTTATATAAATCAGTGTAGCTCTATTAATTGAAGTCTGAGTGGTCTGATCCATCTGGTGGGATCCATCCCATCATTGGGTCCCCCATTGTGGGTTATACCGATGCAACTGTAGCTGTCAGCTCTAAGTGCAAGACTGCAGCATGGCTGTAGGCCCAGCTCTTTTCTTCCCTCTGCACAGAGAAGTAGCCTGTGCTTTGGGCACCTGGCTGAGCACAAGTGCAAGAGGCACATTTTGCTGTCAGGACACTACCTGCTCTTCCCCATCTTCTTTTAGGAAATGGCAACAGGGTTACTTCAGCATACGAGTCACCCTGAAAATGGAAATGCACTAAATAAGAAAAGTCAAGAAAGAACAAAAGGCTCCTCTCTTTTGTTTTTTTTTCATTTTTTCTCCCAAAGATGCATGGAAAGAGCTATTTTCGCATTGAAGACTATATTCCAGCAAGCCGAATAGAGAAAATGACCCTGCCATATGTACAGAGAGAGCTTGCTAAATTACATCGTATGAATCATTCCCTATTTGAGGATGAAGCTGAACTAGAATTTTTAAAGGTAACTTGCCATACCCTAAACATTATTTATTTATTTTGAGATAGAAAGCCCCCCTCTATTTACCATTGTCTATTATTTCCTTCTTGCCTGATACAGTAGATTTTGGATATGGTGAACAAATTTGAGTAGTCAACAAAAACCTCAGAATTTCCTTCTGCTGTAGATACTATCACTCTAAATAACTTACATCACATGTACATGGTAGGTTTCCTCTCACTGATAGTTTATGAAGGATTAATACACATTTTAGTGTATTTTCAACATCCTAAGGGTTGATGCAAATTTTCAGCATGTTACCAAGATGTTTGGGTTCCAGATGATTATAAATACACCTATTGAATATACTAGAGATGACTATAAAACATGGGAATAAGCACTTTCTTGATTTCTGAAACTACAGCAGCTGTTCAGCCACTTTCTAAACATGTAGTGATTATTTGTTTAAAAATATCTGTGAACCCTGGAAGTGAGGAAGGAGTTATCTGAAGTATTTTCTCACATTGCTATTTCTCTAGGGCTCCAGAGTGTCATGATGATGTCGGATTTAATTTTTGACCCCTAACTTCTCCTTCTCCCCCACACTTCTCTGCTTTCCATCAAATGAAAAATGTCAAGGATTAGATAATGGATAAATATCAGTAACTGTCAGTGGAACTGAAGAAATGGATTGAAGCTTAGCCTTAATGACAATCCCATCATGCGTGGCAAATCCAAAGAAGAGAAGCAGATTTGTTAGTATCTGTTTCAATGAATAAGTCTGTAGAAGGAGCCAACACATCATACAAAGTGAGAAAGATAGCCTCCATGGCAAAAACATGCAAGTTCCAAATACGAAAGGGGTTAAAAATTAAAACCCAGATTCAGCTGGTGATTATAGATGCCCCAGTTTTCAGGACCTGAACATTGGTGCTCTGGATACTTTCTGAAAAACAGATCTTAAAATGTTTTATTTTGGTCACTGAAAATCTTTATTCACAGTTGAAAAGTCATTTGGGTATTCTACATTAGCTTCCCAGAAAAAAAAAAAAAGTTTTAGAATAAACTCATATTGATCTGCAGATCACAAAAGAGGACAGAAAACGCTCCTCATATTCTATAGCTCTGTAAAGGGTCTGAGTCACATTTTAACATTTGTGGCTGTTAAATGTTAACAGTTAAATGTTTACCTCCTGCATAAGTGCAGGAGGTAAAAAGACAAGCAATAGCACCCAGAACCTCTGAATGAGTTCCTCAGAGTATCCTCTGCACTGTTAGATGGCAGGGGAAGAAGCTGCCTCCTCAGTTTCTTGAAGTATAATCCTACTTAACTTTTCACCCAGCAATGAGCACTGTGCAAGAAAGAAGCAACACTGAAGATCTGTTACTATAAAGTCTGGCACCGAAGGGAATTCTGGGGCAGTGAAATTCCCTCAAAATTCACTACTATATTTAGGTGAGACAATTTGAGGTACAATTTAGCAAACCCTATAACTTGGCAATGAAAATTTATAGTGTCTGATTTTAAGAGATAATAGCCATGAAGGAATGGGTGTATGTACCTGAGTGAGTTTGTTGCAGGCTGGGAGCTGTGGTGACACTGCAGTTAAGATTTCCAGTTGGTCATCACTATTGTAGAAAGGAAGCCACGGAAGTCCATAACAATGTCAGAGTAGCCCTGACACCAAAGTATTAGTAGTTTTACTAAGATCATCATATTTGCTGTACCTTGTGGTTTCTAGGTTTGCTCAGGGAAACAAAGACACAGAAAATAAAATGGAAAGAAACAAGGTTTAACAGTAGTCAAGCAGCATTAATCCTGCATGGATTTCTATTCAGAAACGCACACAAGTGCCAAGTAGCAGTAATGCTGAGTACCTCAGTGCCACTGTAATTAGACTATTGCACAGGAAGCTACATAATCCTCCTACCTCTTCAAATGAGGTGTATGGGAAAGTGTTATTTTGATTTTACATATGAAAATGAATGCATGTAATGAGTCTGTGACATACCAAAGTAAGGTGATGATTCTGTAAGGCACTAGGTATGAAAATTTGGTAAGAGTTTTCAAAGGTTTCTTGAAAGAGTGAAAGAATATTCAGTAAAGGCACTCAAAACCGTTTCCCATCTACCTACCCTTTCTTCCCATGCCTCTTTTTGAGTAATGCAAGGTAATCACACTTTTTCTCTACAAGGTGACTCAGCAACTTCCTGAATATGGAGTGTTATTCTATCATGTGTCCCAAGAGAAGAAAGGAGCAGGAGGGGACATCATCCTGGGAATCTGTGCCAAAGGCATCATTGTGTATGAGGTCAAAAATCACACAAGAATTGCCAGTTTAAGATTCCAGTGGCGTGAAACAGAGAGAATTTCAGCTCATGTGAGTTGGAACCAAGTGAATCTATTCCCCACTCTACTACTTTACTCCCCTTCTGCTTGTCACTTTGACCAATTTATTGCATTCGGAGCCAGAATTAGACTCATTCTGTACAGGCAAGTGCTTTTTGAAAACAGTCTAAAATCAAGGCTGGATCTGGATGTGGATACCAAGATATCCAGTTCTTAGTGAGGTTTAGTTCTGGAGGTTTTTTTGCCAAGGCTGGAGTCAAACTACTATAAAACTGAATAATCTGGTGTTGACTACTTCAGAAACTATGTCAAACGTCTTTATGGCATATTATGTATTCATTACTTTCTTTGTCTTTACTTCTCTCTCTCTTTTCTTTTGTTTTCCTACCTACATAAGGTCATGGGATCATGTCTCCCTCTTCCCAGATCTCATTCCCATCCTCATCTCTTAGTATATTGATATCTGTTAACAAACCAGTATTGTTGACAAGATTGTGACCCCTTCTAAATGGTATTCTGCCATCAGAGGTATAGCAATCTACCATTATACAGAGTAGGTGTCAACCTGCATCACACATTTCCCAGCCTGTCTGCTCTCTCAAAATGGCCCTTCTGCCCCTTGAAGATATTTTTGTTTTCACATTAAATTGGTTTAATAATTTTAACATCTGTAGGGCCAAATCAACCTGCTCTCAATGCAGTCACTGTCCAAAGGCTCTTAACTTTTGACATGGGGCAGTTATGATTCCAATGACAGACACCTCACTAACAACTGTTGAATTTACGACAGGCATTTCTGCACCCAAAAGGCATGCAGCCATGCATAAATACAACTGGACAAACCATCAAGATTATACAAACCAACTTTCAGTGCCTTAGTGTAATGACTCACATATGAAGCATGCTGTACTTTTTTCTCCCTTTAGAGAAAAAAATTCATGATTGAAAGCAGCTTCAGTGGCAAAAAACACACCTTCATTACCGATACAGCAAAGACATGTAAATATCTACTGGACCTCTGCTCTGCCCAGCACAAATTCAATGCACAGATGAATTCTAGGCAACTTCGGCAAACTTCATCAGGTGAGGTATAAATGCACTTTTGTTATTCAGGCCATAGGACAAGGTTAGGTTTTACGAAAGGTGCATTCAGTGCAGCTGAGAGTCAGAATCTGCCACGTTAGTTTCACTGTGCTTCAGTTTCTCATTAGCAGACTAGAGAATAATGTCTCCTACTTCACTGGAAGTTAGAGGTGTGTAAGTCTAATTCAGTGTGTGCATGTGAGCGGGCACCTGCAGGCTTCTCTGATGATAATAACTATGTAGCTAAACACAGATTTAAAAAAAATGCATGATTACAATTCCCTTCAGGAAACCTGCTGCGAATTCTGAAGAAACGTATCAGACTTACCCTAAATATAACCTGAGAAATGTTTCACACAAAGAATAACTATAGTAGTGCTCAGATATGCTGGAGCTGAATTTAGTTAACTGGTTATCTTTGCATAAGGCAGGGGTTCAACCCTACGGCTCAGTCCCAGGACAAAACCACTAAACCAAAGGCACATCAGTCATACTGACTCAACTATGTAGCTGCTAGCTGTTTGTATCTTAGATTTTGCCATGTCAGTGGAAGATATGACTAATACGTCCTTAGACTTCAGATTTTCCATAGTTTCTAAGATAAGGTTCTGCTCGACCAAGGGCAGTTACATAGCACTTCTCACCCATGGTTCTCAGCATGCTCTGTAAAGATGGGTGAGAATCATTATGGGGAAACTGAGGCACATAAGAAATAACAGCCTAAACTGACAACTGTCATCACTCTTGACTTCAGTATAGCAACATCAGTTTTCCCTAGCTCATCTATTGCCTTGAACAGAATCATGATCATTTACAACCACTGAGCATATGACCCAGTGAGTCATCGCAGGAGAATCAAGTGTCATGCCTTAGCTGCTGGGATACTCCTTTCTCTAGTAAAACTGTCAAAGTGTTGGCAACAAATTATATTATGGGATGTAACAGGTTGATTGATATATTGCCTCTTTACCACTGAAATTATTTAATGAAAAATTAAATTCCACCTGCACAAATTTGTTACCGGCGAAAAAGGCACTAGGATGACATTTAGGTTCAAGGCACCTGTCGTTGCTTGGGCTCCTGTAGCTTCAAACATAACTTGTTTGGACTGTGATTTCTAACATACAAACAAGTGCTAACAGTGAATTTTAAAGTTTCCTGTGTCACATTTGCTTGTGGTAATATATCTTAATAAAAATTACTGCATTCCATATATAAGAGAACTGAAAGATTGAGAGCTAATAAAATTATAACCCAAGTCCTGATTACAAGCACCTCAAATCACTGAGACAAGCCAGACTTACACAAGCTGTGTGACTGCAAGTTCTGAGGTTCAGTGTGTGCTTGCTGTCCCAGAAAAAAAGGCTGTGTGAAGGCAATGACAACAGTTCAAAATGCTGCCTTTGCCACCACAGTGAGGCTGTAAGAGATTATAAGGCTCTTTCTGCATGATGGAAACTTGCTTCTGCTGCACTGTTCAGATGTGTAAGTCACCGTTGCTTCAAAACTTGCTGACAACCCCCTGCTTTGAAATAACCATGGCAACTCTCAGACTGCACTAACACTGTGGACAATTAAGCCTTCTGATGCCTTAACAAATGCCCCTGATCAAAGTCACTGAGGAAGGAGGGAGCCTAGGTTTAATGCCAGAGTAGTATTCTAGAAAGTTGCATTCAGGCTAATATTTGTTAGGAAAACACATGGGAGGTCAGCTGTCATGTACAAGCAGAATTAAAGCCCATAATTGTGCAAGCTTGTACCAAGTAGGGTTCTTGTTTTACTTTCTGACATGTCTCCAGTTGCCTGATGTCCCTCTCTCCTTCAAATCCTCTCTCCAGCCCACCAGTTGAGAACCTAAATAAATTAACAATGCCTCCTGCAGCTCTATCTTGTTTCAGGGAAATAAAATCTTTTGAGAGGATAGATTGACATATAGCAGAGCCCAGATGTCATTAAACAAGCAGAAAAATTCACACAGAGGTGGAAAATTGGATAGCAAGCATTGCCACCAAGATGGTCCCCTATTCAACTTCACTTGTGCAACGCACTCAAAGCAAACAGCCAGCTCCTTGGTCCCTCTGAACTTAAGAGAGCATGTGTTAGTAGAGCTCCTGTCTTCTCAGATACACATATATTGGAGTGGTGGGCCTGTGAAGGATGGGATACTACCAACCTGGCTAATGACAAGTATTTCTGATACATGGAACATTTACAAAATATACTTTACAGATATATTCAGGTTTAAATTACACAAGGTTGTAAATTTCACCTGTCTTTGTGGAAAGTGAATTTGCAGTACAATTCATAGAATTGAAACTTAAATACAGCATAAACTTCTTATGAAAGAAATGGATTAGGAAACCCTTTCCACTCACTCCAAGGCCTGATATCCTCAAGGATACCAGAACAAATATATCTGTGATGTCAATCTTTTATGCTGGCATGTTCAAAAGGTTAGACAGAAAGCACCTTTGAGCTTAAAAAGATGGGATATTAACAGTGGATTTATCTTTTCTTCCTCCCCCTCTCTCCTTTCTTATTCAGAGGAAAGTAAATTCATGGAAATAGACAAATCAAATTCTGCATATGCAGCTCAGCATGAACACCTTGCACTGATTCAGAGACTGTCTCGTTCAGAGAATGTGCTCTATGGAGCAAACTTGGAAAATCTTTCTGCTGGGATGATGAGCAAATCTTGTGATAACCTCAGTGTGGAAATCAACAACAGGACTAGAGACAAAAGCAATCTTGGCAGGTAGGTTTGCTTTTTCGTCTAAACGTGTGTAAGAATACTCAGTCATAGACTATATCATTGCAAACCTCTATAGTAAACTGTGAGGCAGACTTTTTTTTTTTTTTTGCAGTCTTTATTGTGGTCACACCAAAAGGCCTGGGGCTCCATGGTGCCAGCAGTAGTGAAAACACAGGCAGGAAGCTAACAGTCTAGCGGACAAGAACTTGAAAAGGAGTGACATTTAAATTTGTACCAGACTCAGGAATGAACCACTTACTGAGTTACGGAGAAGGATAAAAATAAGAGAGAAATAAGGGAGAGAAAAAGTAAAATCTTTAATGTCTGTATATCTTCTCTGGAAATGGCTGTATGTGAACTGAATGCACAGTGGAAGCTGTATTTGAGCAGGTCTTACCTAGCTGATTCCTCCATGTCTAAGGTGCAAATCAGAGAACATTATAAGAACTTTTCTCCCTTTTCATTTGCATTGGTACATTCACCAGTGTAGGCAGTTACTACAGCTGCACACAGGATCAAGGCCTTTGATAAATTCTAGGGCCTTTTAGAATACCATTAGAATAGAGCCAAGAAGAACATGAACTATCAGGAAAACTTTCAGATGTGGTTTTGTCTAAATGGACAGCAAGGTTAAATTAATCATGCTGAGGCTATGCTGTGTTTTCCTGATGCCTGCACTCAGCTCAGAGGAAAACACAGGGGAAAATCAATTGTGATGTGAGTGGTCTAATGGCAGCTGTTATTTGGAAGCAAATGCTGGCAAGGATAAAATACCTCCCCCATACAATGAAATGTGTCCCAGAAATCAAAATACTCATTGAAAGGCTATAAACATGTGCATTCGCAAGTTGGCTCTGACAGATTAATGACAATGAAGAGTGCTAAATACCACTGCTGATTTGTTATTGTAATGCAGTCTTGATTTCCTGCCATGCAGATCCACATCAGGGCTATCCCAGTCAGAAATGCACATCAATTTGAATGGAAATCGAAGGAGTTATGACTACCTCTCTATCCATTCAACTCAGAACACAATCAGTGGTGAGTATAATAATCATAAAGAGAGACAGTGCCCTTCCATATTTATTGGTTCAATAGCAGGAGACCAAAATATATTCTGTTTAGAGATTAAAGGATATACTTTTGCACTTCTAGTCCTGGGAATTAACCCAGAGTTCATCAAGACAATCTGTTTTGTTCCCTTTCACTCCTACTTTGCATCAGGATCAGTGGTAAGGGACTTCATGATAAAATTATTTTATCAATGGTACCTAATGCTCTTCAGAGAGCATTAGTTCAGTACACCCAGGACTCTTGCATGGGGTAATATCCCTATGCTCAGAGGTAATTCTTTGGTTTGCAATTGAGATCCACAACTCAATAAATAATGTATGAGACAACATAGGCTCCAGGTTCTTCCTCTGTTCTTTCATTTGCATGACACTAACTAGAATAAGAACTGGACACCTAATTTTCTAACAGAAGCCATATTGCATGCACACAGTGAGCAGATCTATGAAATACAAAACTATGATTATTTGGTTAGTCCATTTTAAAATTAGAACTCTACTTTAAACACACTGCAGCATTTGCACAATGTTAAGTAGTGTTGACACTACAAAAGTCACCATCACAATCAGTGCTGATTGGATTGCACCTACAGAGCCAAAAGGGCCCACAGGGCCGAAGGCTAGAATTTCCAAAGGAACCCATAGGAGATTTTGTGTCCAAATCACCCTCATGTTCAATGAGTGCTACATGCCTGACTCTTCC